ATCCCAAATATCTTTGTCTACATTACTACATCATCACACACATTCATTCATTTTCCTTTTATTCATTTCATTTTGGCTTATTTAAATAGTTGAAGCAAAACAGTCTGTATTTACGGCTTCTGTAAAATGTATTTTATTTTATGCTAAAACTGTTTAAAAAATAAAAATGAAAAAATGCCTGAGGTTTTTCTCTTTTTCTTCTTATTTGGATGGCACACATTGAGCTGCTTCATGGAGATATACAGAAAAATCAATTCCTAAGCATAAAATGCAACTCACATTAAGGAGACTGCAAATGATAACTAATTATGATGAGTTGCTACGTAAATCATTCTATGGCAGTCCCAGCAATCAATTTCAAACACAAATAGAACAAGTCCTGGCTGGAGAAGAGGATGAACACCTACCAAATGTGTCAGAAATAACGGCAAGATTGCCAAAGTTGGGTGGAAGTAGGGTGGAAACCATCTTCAAGCAAGTTTCCGTAGATTTCCTCTTGGATTCCTGCATTCTTTCTTTCATACACTTAAAGTACAGTGCTTAAGATAACAAGGTAACTATGGCATACTGTCTGGACTGTATAAGCATCAGGGAAAAATAATAATTCAGGGATGTTCATTAGACTTGCAATGACTTTGTAAAATGTGCACACAAATACACTTGATTGGGCCTTAAGTGTGGTAGCTACTGGCCATGTCAAATTATGGGATATGTGTGGGATTGTCTGTTTTAACCTGGCATCACCACCATGCTCTACTAATGTTTTCTCTGAAGCTCAGAGGAGGAATTAGAAACTGCATTTCTTAGACTTCCCTTGGTGCATGATTCCATGTTAGAGTGGGTCAAAGAGAGACACTGGAGAATAATTTGGAAATCCAGAGAGAAAGAGAGAGCAGGGCAATCCCTGGGTAGGTCTAATGTTTGAAGCAGTGTCCAAGTTGAACTTGAGAGCCACTCCTACATTGGCACTACACATTGAGAATGTCAGTAGGTGGTTCCCAGGCATTCCTGACATGTGCAGAAATGTCAGCAAGCTCTCGAGGATCACCAGCCTCGGTGTGAGGTTGGGACTCTGAATGGGGTCTTCCTCGACTGAATAAGCCTCTCTCTCATCCCTTACGTTAAAACCCTTCATGATGTGAATACAGAGTGGGCCTTCTATTTTCCTATCTGAATTCACACTGATGCCATAGCATTTTCCCCTTGGGTTTTTCAAACTTTCTCTGCTCTTGAATTTATAGACTTGTAATTTTAAAAAAAGGAAGGAAGGACAGTAACACAATTCTTTTGACAAAAACAGGCAAGGATACTATAATATTTTGCTGCAGCCTTAGCAAAGGCTTTGGAAATTCACCCCAGGCAATGGGCATTTCCAGACCATTTCTTTGCTTGTACTTTCTTCTTCCTTCCAGAACAATGCCATGGTCAGTCCTGCATTTGCTTCATATGTCCTGTGTGAAGGACACATGTCAGGGGGTGTCTGGGATTCAAGGACACAGAACTCTGAATATTTTTTTCCTTGCTTCTGTCCCTGAGTGACTTAGTTTCCCCCAGCAGTTCTCGGCACCTTCCTCTGTGAAATGGGGATGATAATATTTACCCTCCCTACTTTACAGGGTTGTCTTGAGGATGATATGTTCTATTCACTAAATAGAAATGTTTTCCTCAAAAGACACAGTGGTCTATATAGATGCAAATTCCATTTCTAACAGCTACCAGATAAAGAGTGGCAATACCTGGCAGGTAGGTGTATGTCCTATGCACATATTTAAAGAAATAGTCTTCTAACATATCAACACTCCTCATAACGTGGATACCCACGGAGGATGTAGTAAGTAGACTGCCACGAGGTATCATCTGGGATTACTGATACAGCTGCATGGATACAGAGACACAATCTCTGCCATTGCCTCCAAAAGCTTACAGCCTGTCCAGGAAGACAGTTCCTGAACAAAAGAGCAATGACCTAATATAAATGTGTGGGGTAGGATCAGAAGAGTCTTCCTTACAGCTGTGATTTTTAAGGTGATACCTGAAGGATGAGCAGAATCCAGTGATGTGAAAGAGAAGAAGGATTAGAATCTGTACTGCTCCTCAGGGAACTTCCATTTATGAAGAGTTTAAGACATACATATACCTCACCTCTATCACACAAAGCAGAATATAAACAATTGCAGTAAGGAGATAGAAGCAAATATTGTAAGTATATCAGGAAGAAGAAAAATCAACATAAACAATTTCTTATAAGAAGCAAAAAGTACTGTGCATTATTATCCCTATGATGCATGGATTAGTTGTAAATTACAGATGGAAAAATGGAGTCCCCATCTCTGATACTTATTCCGGGCCCAGATTTCCTTTGCATTTGAATCTACAGTCCTTAGGACATGAATCTTGGGTTTATCAGACTCGACATTGAAAGTTACATAAAAGGACAAGCAAAGGGAAAATGGCATGTACAGAAAAATAGCAATTTGCACATGAACTACTGCCCGCCAGTTTATGTAGCTGTTGGTGCGGAATGAAAAGAGATTGGGAACTGGGTGAATCAAAAATTATTTGCAAATAGAACTTCCACTTAAGATTTTATAGACCAAGTTTCAGACATCATAGAGGATTTCACTTGGGAAAGAAATGATGCAATTTGCCTTCACAACGTGAAAGAGCCCTCACTGGATAAAGGTTTGTAAGCTGTTTCCATAAAGGTATTAACAAACGACATTCAGATAGTTTGGTGGTTTATATGATCAGAAAAATAGAGTAATTTCTTTAACTTAAATATAATAAAGCAAAGTGGCATTGAGTGGTTTCATTCTGGGTGCTGAAAAATTGGGCTTTCCCTTCTTGTTATCATATGATTCATGCCAAGCTAAACCAGATCAGTCTCATTGCTTCACTACATGGATCAGTCCAATAATAATTCAAGCTTAATCAACTTCTCTGGCTTTCTCTCTATTTACTGATGTCCACAAGACCACAAGCCCAAAGACCTTGTCACCATTTCATGATGCTGACTCACTTTTTGCACTACCAGGTCCTTAGAACTAGTGAAGCAACCAGTGCATTAAATGGATAAGGTATTCCTCAGTAAAACTGAGATATCTGTTGCTGGGTCCTTTAAATAACAATGTTCCCAGGTAGGGGAGGGGGGAAAGTGGTGATGGGCATTGAGGATGGCACTTGACAGGATGAGCACTGGATATTGTATGGAAACCAATTAGACAATAAATTATATTTAAAAAATTAAAATAAAAACAAATAAATAAATAATAATGTTCCCATGTCAGGCTCTGATGTCATCAAAGTACACTTGTTTTAACTCTAAATGCCTTGTGCGTTTTTCCATATTCCAAATATTGTTCAACATGCCTTCACAACTTATAGTTATATTCATTTCTTTAAGGTTCAAAATTTCTTGTTTTACTATTACAGTGACAAATGGTCCTATTATTGGGGATTATCATTTATCTGATCATGGCCTTCTTTTATGAAATCTCAATTTCATGGCTAGATCAACTTCTACAAATGGGCTTGAGGGCCCTAAACCTTCAGTTCCTATGCAGTGTACTCAATGGTCTATAGAGTAAAAATGCCTTTATTTAAATATAAGAAACCAATAAATAAATCCATGAGGATATAATGCTAGAGCTAATTTGTTATTCTGTCTAGATATGATATTATTATTTGCCTAGAGGAGCTCCCCACATGGCCCCCACCGCACTCCCAAAAAAGCTCAGAAAACACACCAGGCTCTAAAGGAATATGCTCAGGACTTTCAGAAGGACATTCAGTGAGGGAGATCTATTGATGGCCATCAAAATACAGCATATGGAGCATATGGGTAGCTATTTTTTCTACCTGCCTTTGAGCAAAGTTGATTTCCACAAAACTGACATTTAATGAATAGAATCCTAATTGAACCAAAATACATGCAAATGTGGAAAAGTCCTACTGTGCCCAGACAACAAATAAGCAACACAGGTCCAAGTCACAGACACCTGGAATCCTGCATTACACTCTCTTGATCGTTGCCTGCGGAATAGAAGTGTGCCATTTGCCCAGAGCCCACATGTCTTCTCAGAGCGCCAGCTTCACCACTTTCTGGGCATCTCTACAGGCTTTGTTCATACCCATCCATCCTGCAAAGAAGCTGGGATGACAGAGCTGCAACAGTCCTTATTCAATGTTCCCTGAATGTATAAGGGGAATTTCTTGTTTGAGAAAATGTTGTTTAAAGTATGGAATACCATCAAAGCCTATTCTTACTTATGGCTGGGAGGCAGATTCACAATTAGGAAACATGGCACTAGTCATAACCAGGATAAAAGGGGTAAAGGAGTTATACCACATGGTCTTCTGTCCTCCCAGTTCCAACAAAGGTGATCACAGAGTCCTTGGCCTAAGCATCCAGCAAAGGGATGAGGCATTTTTAAATTATATTCCATGTAGACTCTAGAGATGGTGATAAGAATTCAAGTCTTTGGAAACACTGGGTAAGCCAAATTAATGTATTGAGGATCAGGTAATTTAAGAAAAGCTATGCATTGATTCTGGGCAATGTTGTTAGGTAAACTGGAATTCCTTTTAGCTGTAACACAGAGTTCATTCATTTTAAAATTATAGATTTCAACTATTCTCTCCAAACAATGATACCTTTACAGATATTAGTGAGTTTCTTAATTCTCTCCATCACTTTTGCTGCAAGTAATGATCTATTTAGTAATTTTTAAGTACCATAATCTCTTTACTTAAAGAAAAAAATCAAATCACAAAATTATATTATAGCATGGATTTATTTGCCTTCCCAGTAGACTGCCACTAAATTCTGTTTAATATGAGTTAAAATCACTAGGTTTGACAAGTATGGTTTTCTCATCAAGGCCTTGAAAAGCACTGTGTTCCTTCTAAAGTGCGGAGGCAGCAATAATGAGCCCCGCACTCTGCACAGCCAAGTGTCCCTCCCTGCAACCACTAAGGGCAATAAAAAGCTGAGTTCCTACCTCGGTGATTGGTGAGATCCCTGGAAGCAGAAGGAAGGGGTGTATAGTGGTGCTCTGGAGAGGCCTCGACGTGGTCACTGGAAGCCTGTGTAATAAAAGAACATGTCAACATGAAGTAACACCAACCACTAAATACCTTCTTTTACCAAACAGGGCTCCTAGGGATCTGAGTCTGGAAGAAATACTATCAACCAAGACTCTTCTTAGGAAGCAAGAGTTGTTTGTGCTGGGATAACGTTCTGGTGAGTGTAGGGTGGTATAGGAAGCTTTGAGGAGTCTCAGTACAGGAGAAAGGGCTCCGCAACAAGGGGATGGTTTGTTTATTTGTTGAACTGAAAGGTGAGGAGGAGGAAAGAAAGAGGGTAAAGTTCAGAGACCTTCTTCAGGTGCTTCCCACAGATTCAATGTTCACTGTGAATAGATTTCTATGGAAACTAGTGAAGACGCTGGGCTTTGCCCCAGGGTAGATGGCGAAAAACAGGGCCCGTTTACATGGGCCCAGTGGCATGGAGACACAGAGAAGCTCAGTAGCATGAACCGAAGGATATAAACCATTGCACACCGTATAGTCAGGCTTCTGGCTAAGTTTAACAACCACACTGAAAAACTCACCTGAAATTTGGCATATAATGGTTACCAATAAAACTTTGCCATTCCAAAGCCTAAAAGAAAATGATATGAAATGTATCTGTGAAGATGGTCTTTTATTGTACACAAACAGCTCTTTAACCATCAAACTGTATATAGTGTGACCTGTATGGGTAAGAAGTGCTACCTTTCTTTCTCTGTAACTCTACAACCATAGGAATGAAGCCAGGAAGAAAGGACTATGGCCGTAGAGTCAGCTGTCCCTCAGAACCCATGACCCTTCTGACACATTCAGAGTGTGGATACTTATAGCAAGAAGCATCACTATTGCCAGTCTTACTGAGACTTCTGAATCAAATACTACTTTTTTTTTTAATATCCAAAAAGGAACATCTGCTAGGATCAAAATCCTAAGCTTACAACCTTTCCAAGCTTCAAGAAAAAAGTAAATTTCATTAATGCAACATTTTTCTTTTGGAATAGGAAATACATTCTATGGGATATATTTACCCTGCTTGGAGCAGGCCTTTTCTCCAAAGAGATTATCTACATTATAGGAATCAAAACTAAGTAGGAGATTAGAACTACTTGCTAGAAAAACCCTTTAAACCCTGCTTCTGACATTTGAGATGTTTGATTAAGCAGCTTTCAGTGGAGACTTACAGAAAGAGTTCTGAATGGAGCAAAATCAGAAGCTGTGTCCCTAAGGTAGAGACAGATTTCAGGTAGCATTACTTCACTCCAGCTCCAAGGGAAATATGTGGTGTTTAAATCTTGATCCAAGGTTACTGGGTCCAGAAAGAGCAAAGTTCAGTCACTAAGAAAAATGTTTTAAAAAGTAGGTAAGACTTGCTCGATACTATATCATTAGATACTTAGGATACTGCAGAAATTAGATTAAATTTCAAATACTAAAGTCAGCACATGTCCCTCCATTTGGCATGCAAGGTCTCTTGCCATCCCACATGATAAATGAGACACACTGACAGTGTTCTAAATATGGCACTTATTCAATGCTAGAGGCAGAATATATGGGGTAAAGTAATGGGGGCCATCTTCCACAGATCTACCATACTTCCTTAGTAAAAGGCCATAGTTTCTCTCTCTGTCAATGTTTGTGCTTCACGTCAATGCTAAAAAGGCCCAAAATTCCAGTATGAGTTTTAGGTTGCTATATTGTGATATTTCTTAGTGTGTTTAATCTCAATTTGGGCTGTTGACAATTTGATGACAGCTTTTCCTAAAATTACTGGAAGAAACTACCTTTCAGCAAATACCTCTGACTGGGCAAAATATTAGAGCTCTATAACCAAGAGTAAAATAGCTATTTACCTTTATTTCCAGTTGTAGTCAAAGCAAAATTGGTGTGGCTTGAGTTCTGTTTTACAGTCACCATTCCATGCCTAGCATTTAATTATTTTTCTTCTCAGTATCCATTTACAAACTCAAGTCATGGAAAAGAATCTCAGAAAAGAACAATTTTTCAAACTGTTGGTGGAGCGTCTATGGCTGGATGTTTAAGGAACTATTACAAATTTAGATTCTAAATACCAGTTCCTTTGATTTGGCTCTTATCGAAATGAAGTCCATGTGATTTTTTTCAATAGTGATGTACACATTTGTTCTCTGGATATTACAGTTACAGGCACAATTAAGAAAAGCGTGATTATCATATGAAACAAGTGGACAAGACAATGCCTTCTACCTGCCCCCAAATAAAGAACTACCCTTGAAACTGAAGCAACATACCAATAGTATATTGAGTATGAGATGACTGAAATGTAAGTGGAAAAACTTAAATGTTTTCTTTTATTTGGATTAAGAAGATATGCCTAAAATGGGAATAAGGGAAATTTGGGTAAGTCTGAATCATCAGAACCATATATCGTCTCAAATCTTTGAGTCCTTGCCAAACCTCCCAACTACCTATGGCAGAGAATTATACTCTTACATTTTACTTTTTAAATCACTCCTGCTACAATAAAATATTAGCATCTGGAAGGCATATGTCCCTAAATAATTAAAAATATAATAGAAATATGGACAATGGAGGTGTCAGGAAATTCAAAGAAGAGAGAAGCTGAGTGGTTAATAAATGAAAAAGAAGAAGGTCGAATTCACTAGTCCAAAGAGAAATGCTAATTAAAACAAGATACAATTTTTCCACCCAGCATACTGGCCAACTTTCAAGTCTTACAGCAAGGGCTAAGGTGAAAGAAGGGAAATGAACTTTTATCCTCTCATCCCTTGCCAGTGGAAATGGACATTGGGTCAACTACTTTGGAGAGTAATTTAGCGATATCTAATAAATTTGAAAATTGATACAGCAACTTCATTTAAAATGTATACACTATGGAAAATTTCACTCAGGTCTATAAAGTGGAACATAAAACAGTGTTATTATATGATTATTGAGAACAGAACAAATTGGAAATAGTTCAAATGCCTGTCAATGAGGAAAATGGATAAATAAAATGTTGTATATTTGTATGACAGAATAATATTTAGCATTTAAGAGCAATAAACCTGATTTATGTATCTCTAGTTGAATAGGTCTAAAATTTTAACACAGAAAACAAATAAAAAAATAAATAAAATTTAACACAGAGTGAAAATACAAGTTGCAAAATGACAAATATGGTCATATGTATGTATGTATGTATGTATATGTGTGTATATATACATATATATAACACATGCACATATATGTGTGTGTATGTGTATTTCTTCACCCACATGTGTGTATGGAAACATCTAACAATTATACAAGCTAAACACTAAATTCATGAAAATGGTTGCCTCTGCTAGAAGGCAGGGTAAAAGGATTGGGGCTAACAAGATGGGGGAGACTTCAATTATATATATATAATATATATATATTTATATATATATTATATAATAATTATTATATATAATTATTATATATATATATAATAATTATTATATATATATAATATTTTATATTATATTATATATATGGTTTATTTATTTTATTTAAAGACTTGGAAAAATATGTCAATATATTAGAAAATACAAATTCTATATGTTAGTTAAATGTGTTCATTACTTTTCTACATTTTTGAAATTTTTCAAAATTTTAATTTTGAAAAAAATTTTAAAAAAATGAAAACTGAAAAAAAACAAAGATTCCTATTTCCTCTCTGACCCATAATGAGAGGAAATTCATCTAACAATTTCCCAGTACTTGCACAACATGGACAACATGAATTTAGGCCATTTCTTGTTCACCTTCTATAATGAAATATTCCCATTTCTGTTTTTTGTAAAGCTGCTGAGTATGACAATAGACTAGAAAAAGCTGATAAATAATTGTAAATAGGTACCCCCTTCTCCCTTCATACCAAAGCTTGAAATGCTTATGCCAGCCTGGTAAATTCTTCTAAGATTCATCAAAGCATACTGAAGGTTTCTGTGCTCTTTCCCTACTCACAAATGGATAGTTGCTGATAATTTTTTAAACTCACAACAATAATGATAATAGTCACTAATATACTGCACTCTGCAATTTCCATAGTGCAGGAAGGAAGGCAGAATTTTGGCAACCTTTTTGGAAAAGAGTCAGTGGAAGTACAGCACACTCCATGAGAGACTTGCAAAGTGAGAATTTCACTCAGTGGTTGCAGAAAACAAATGTCCTCAGATGAGTATGTAAAATTCAAGTCCCTTCCCATTGGGTACATTCCATGGAAACCTGCATTCCAGTGGATATTTCTGAACATCATGGATGCCCTGAAGGAATATGATACAGACCACAGGAGGAGTGATTTGGCAGGCTTCAAAACAAGAAGGGGGCAGCTACAAAGTTGTTTAATAGCCATAAATCTCCTACTATTTTTCACAAAATACCATCTAAGACCGCATCTCCACAACTCATTCCCCATTACTCAGCTCAAGTGGAGCGCTTTGGCATGCTCACTCACCCTTAAATCACACACAGCATAAAGTGATCCCAGGTCTGGGAAATTTGTCAGCCTCCTTCAAGTAAAAGCAATCTTCGCTTTTCATCACAATTCATTCCCTGAAACTGTGGTATAAAGCTGACTCTTTTAAAAACATTTATTTTCTTTCATAAGAAAAAGCATCACTCATTTAGTTATCAAGTATTTAATAACCACCTACTATATGCCAAGCCCTGTGCTGAGAATCCCAAGAAAAATAAAATGAGGACTTGGACTGCATTCCTGACTCATCAAAAAAAAAAAAAAATGATAGCCATGATTAATACTAGTTATTAAGAGTCACCAATGTTTAGCATGACCCCCAAACTGCACTGTCACAGAAATTTGCCCTTGACCTCTGTTATGACACATCACCACATGGAACAGTAATTATGTCCTTGCTTGTTTCTCATTCATACCAAGAGAAAGCTTTCAAGATTAACTATATTAAGTTTCTGAGATTAACTATACTATTAACCCTTGTACCCAACATGCTGCCATAAATATAGAAAATAGTCAATGCATGGTGATTGAGTGA